ATCTGATCCCAGAAAATTTACCTAACTTCATGATTCAGGGTGCTCACCTCATACCCTATGATCTGGCCCAAATTGCCTGTTGTTCTCCAAGTAGGTCATGCTATTTCATCTTCCATGTTTTTTCTCATAGTGCAAGCTCTACTAAAATGTCCTTGGTCACCTGGACACGTTTCAGGACTTAGCTCAACCACCATCTCCTCTTTGAAGTGTTTTCTGACTGCGTTCTCATGTAAAACTGATTATTCCCTTGTCTACGTTCCCACTATTTCCTAAACATACTTCTAGAAAAATGGTTATAAAATTTTGTTGTACTTATCTATGCACTTGCTTATAAGCTTTCCAAGGGTTGGAAACATGACTAATTAATCTTTACATCCATAGCTTGGCACTATGCTCAATGAGTATTTGATGAAAGAATTAATGCATGAAACGTGAGGTATAAAAGTACAAGTAATTATTCCATGAGCAGAAAAATCAATAGGGATGGTAACACAATCTAAATCTTCTCTCCATGAGTTTTCCACTTCTTTCATTATTTAGTATTTTTTAAAAGTTCCAAAATAACTGTTTGCATATGTGTTGATTGGCCTAATACTGAAAATATACAGGCTGCATTCTTTGGTGTATAAGCATACTTCTTTAAAAAATTAAAATCTTAACTAGCTTGTCTTTGACATTTTCCAAATATATCTAAAATGTCAGAGACAGCATTTGGGGCCTACAAATCTTTTGAGTGAAAGCCCAGGCCTTCAAATTGTGTGCCATTCACAGGTTTAAAATAGGAACATGTTCCATGTTGACTGTGAGCTATTTGGAGACTTTAAGAACATTAAAAGAGAATAATTTTATTTTAGGGAAGACTATTGGAAGATAGAAATTTTAAGAGACAACCTACATAATACCTGAATATTAAAATGCAAACACACAATATTATTACTCTCAAATCTGAGCGTCTCAGCAAGAATTCAAATGTAGTCTACGGTCTCCCAGATCTCTAAAAGAAGTCTGCCTGCATTTCTAATAAAAAAAAAAGCCCAACTTTTAACATCCATGAATGGGATATAATCATTTGCCAGTATAAAATATGAGAAATTTGTGGACAAAATATGCAAAGGTATGTTCATGTGCTGCAGATGAAACATTTGCAGTAAAAAGAGAAAAATAAGTTTGCAACAGTTTTTTTCAAGTCATAAGAAAAGATTGGTGTATCCAATTCCCTCTACATCATTTTCTAGCAAATTAGATTAATTGCATGATGTTTTGGAGAAAGGTATTAACATTATGATTTTTCCTTATATTCATATTCTAAATATCATTTTCATGTATGTTTGGAGGAAGAGTAGAAACATCGTTCTAGTTGATTTTTATGTAGTCAGATGGTGGAGGAAACACTGGAATTTACTGAGCAAATTCCTAAGATCAAGAAGTTTTTAGAATTTAAGAGATTTAACAAAACCTTAATTATTAGTCATTTTTTACTGAAATGACTAGATATTTGAATATACCAAATTTGAAAGTGCAGATAAGCAAAAAAGGATAGCTGCTTTGGTCAAAGAACTGTTAAATATTAAACTAGACACATAGACTGAGTAGAGGGTGAGTGAAGGTGCACTCATTTCCTGTGATTGAAGTTTTGCACTGCCAATTTTGAAGAACTATACAGAAGAGTACGGTGAACACAATTTCAAAGAGAGGTTCACTGATTTTCATAGATAAATGAATGCCACTTTTATTTTCTACCTAACTTTGGAGTACAAACCCCACAATATACCTAAATTGGGGTATCTCAGGGCACCTGGGTGGCTCAGATCGTTAAGCATCTGCCTTTGGCTCAGGTCATGATCCCGGCGTCCTGGGATCGAGTCCCCATGTTGGGCTTCCTGCTTAGTGAGGAATCTACTTTTTCCTCTGCACTTCCCCTCTGCTCGTAGTCTCTCTCTCTCTCAAATAAATAAATAAAATCTTTTAAAAAATAAATAAATTAGGGTATCTCAACCTTATTATGGAGGCTGTTTCAAAGTAGTGTATATTGACTGAGCATTTTCTCTATTCCAAGGACTCTACATGTATTTCCTCTTTCAAGAAAAACAGATTGAACTAATGGTAAACGATGTTCATACAAAAGATAAACTATACTCGTAATTTTAATGACAATTACACGAACTCCAGAATTATGTTGAAGTTGCTGCCAATGAGACCAAACCTTGAGCAACGTGTGGTTTTGCCTGATTCTGGGAAATATACTTTACTTCATGAAACTAGTATAAGCAGGTAGCTATTCTGATTATGTCCATAACATAGAATGGACATAGAATGTCCATAACTAATATAAGCAGGCAGCTATTCTGATTACGTACATAACATAGAATATAAAATAACAATGCCTATGAATTAGAAAGAAGTTTATTTCTCAATCACTTAAAAGAGGTCAAGAGATAGAAACCTGTGTTCTAGAAGCTATGTCAGCTCTATGGTCATTAAGGACACAGATTTCTTTGTATTTCTGATTCTACATTCACACATACCTTTTTAGGATTTCATTTTATCCCCACTGTTGACCTATTAGCTAGACCTGTTTGTTTTATTTTGATGGGTGTTCTAAGATTTAGAATGTACATTTTTTTTAAATTTATTTATTTATGATAGTCACAGAGAGAGAGAGAGAGAGAGAGAGAGGCAGAGACACAGGCAGAGGGAGAAGCAGGCTCCATGCACCGGGAGCCCGACGTGGGATTCGATCCCGGGTCTCCAGGATCGCGCCCTGGGCCAAAGGCAGGCGCCAAACCGCTGCGCCACCCAGGGATCCCTAAAATGTACATTTTTAATTTATCACAATTTACCTTCAAATAATAGTACATTTCACATACAATGTAAATTCTAACAATGTAATTCCATTTCTCCTTTCCATCCTTTGAACTATTATTGTCAAGCATTTTACTTCTACATATGTTATGAACTCTATAAAACAGTATCGTATTTTTGTTTAAGTAGTCAGTTATTTTTTTAAGAATTTCTATATGAGAGGGGCAAAGCCTTTTGTATTTACTTATATAGTTACCATTTCCAGGACTCTTCATTCTTTAATACAAACTCAAGCTTCTGTGTGTGTGTGTGTGTGTGTGTGTGTTTTAATGCTGAAAAAGTTGCTTTAACATTTCTTGTGGTGCAGTGTAACTGGCAACATTCTCTCAGCTTTTGCTTTCTTTAGCTTTCATTATTGAAAGATATTTTTTCTAAATATAGGATTCTATGTGACAGAATTTTTTTTCTTTCAGCACTTTTTTAAATGCCCTTTCATTGTCTTTTGACTTGCATAGTTTCTGATCAGAAGTTTATTGAATTTTCGTCTTTGTTTCTCTATACATAATGTGCCTTTCCTTCCACTGGCTGCTTTTGATATTTTCTTCTTACCGCAAGATTTCAACAGTTTGATGACGATGTCTTTTTTAGTGGTTTTTGAGTGCGTGTGCTTACCCTGCTTAGGGCTTATTGAACTTCTTGAATCTCTGGGTTTATAATTTTTGTCCAATTTTTAGCTATATTACTTCAAATATTTTTTCTGTCACCCTTTCTCACCTCTCTCTCATCTGGAACTCCAGTTGCACAAAAACTAGAAAACTTGGTATTATCCTACAGATCACTGAGGCAGTTTTTCATTTTTTTTTTCATTTTCATTGTTGTTTAATTTTTTTTAGTTTTTGGCTAGATTCTACTGCTATGTCTCCAAGTTTACTAATCTTTTCTTCAGAGTGTCTAACCTGCTTGAGTATTAATCTCACTCAGTGAAATTTTTATGTCCATTGAAATTCCATTCTTTTATATCTCTAATTTCTCTTTCAGTATATGGAGCATATTCATAATAACTTTTAATATTGTGCACTTTTTCATTTCTGGCTTTGTTTATGTTGACTGACTTTTCTCCTGGTTATAGATTACATTTTCCTATTTCTTTATATGTTCTAGGTCTCTTGCTAGTTCCTAGGCATTTTCATGATCTACCTGCCTACGCATTAAGTGCTGGTGTTCCCCAGGATGCTATTATTGATTCTTCCTTTTCTGATGTACATACTCCCTGTGGGTTATTTCATCCATTCCTATAATTTTGACTACCGTCTATATGATGGTATATTCCAACTGTATCTTCTGCTGTCCAGATCTTTCTTCAGAGCACTAGAGTCATATATATATAATATATGTATATATATAACTGCCTACTCCACTTCTTCACAGAGATGTCCATAATTATCTCAAACTCAACATATCCAAAGCGAATTCATCAAATTCCCCCTCAAAAGCTGTTCAATCTTCTGTATTTCCTGACTCAGTTAATGGAATCAATGGCTCATAAATCTCATCCTTCTCCTTCCTTGTAATACATATTATGGATCCCCCCCCCCCCCCCGCTTGCCAGCCTTCATTCTTCTTTTTCTGGGCAATCACCCCTGTGTTCATTGGGATATCCACACCTCCCCATCACAACTTGGGGGAATCTAACTCCTTTGGGGCTGGGGGCAGGGCATAGGTCTTTATCCTTAGATAATTAGTCTCATGTCATTCCCTGGTCATGCATAGAAAAATGAACCAGTTCTTGAGGCTGGTTCTGCGGAAAGGTAGTTTTCTCTCCTTTCTAAAACAGTTTTCAAAAATTTCTTTTTTTTTTTCTTTTCATGTACCTAGATGGTGAAACTTAAAACCACAGGAATTTCTTAAAACCACTGTCATTTGACCATAGGCTAATACTAAGGAAGGAAAAGCAATGAAACAAGAGAGAAACATGACATCTTTGAATTGTTGAATCATTCAGCTTTGAAGCCCACCTTTTCACTGGACTTTCTACCTAGACAGGTAATATTGATTGGTTAAGCCAGTTAGAGTCGGGTTTTTGCTGCTTGCAACCAAAAGCATCATAATTGATAACCTTCCTTCACCTTTTACCCCCAAACACAGGCAACTGCTCACTAGGTTCTATTAATTTTCTTTCTTAAATAGTGTCTGATTACCTTCAGTTTAGTCTCCTGCCACCGCTGATGCCTTAGTTCGGGCTCTTATCTTTTTTTAAATGCAGAAAATGCATTTCTAAAATACGTATCTTATGAAAATTTCATCTGCTTACAGTCCTGGCATGAGTTTCCATTGCTTCTAGAAAAGAGTCCACATTCCTTAGCATATTGTATAAGGTTCTTCATTCTTTTTCTGTGTCTTCTCTCACCACTCCTTCAATCCTGTTCTACCAACAATGCTGAACTCTGCCAAGCCAGAATACTGCACAGTCTCATGCCTCTAGCACTTTGCTCTTCCTGCCTTCCAACTCCACCCCCCATGCTCCCAACTCACTTCTCTCTTCCCCTCCTCCACCAAAATACTCAAAACACCCTAACTCACAGCCATCTTCAAGTTCAAATGTTCTTGGAAGCATCTGACCTTACTTGAGTCTGGGGCAGCTGTGCATTAGAGCACCTGGTGTGCTTTCCTGTTATAGTATTTATCACACTGAGTCCCTTTATTTACCTGTCTCCTCTATGCACAGCAAGCACTTTGAAAACAAGAAATGTTTCTTTTATATTTTTGCATCTCTATTTCCGAGAACCAACAAAGTATACTGGGACATAGTATATTAAATAAGTGTGTTTTTTCTTGAATGAATAATTATGTGGTCTACAAAAATAAGGATTTTTGATCTTGAGATTCTATTTGAAAACCTCTGTTTTTCTTCCACTACATGTTTTTCTGATTTATAAGCATTAATCTTTTTCTTCCAGGGTATGTATGGGTTTCCAGCTAGGCAGGGAAGGAATACAGGAGGCTGGGACAGGTTACCTTTAGACCTTTAGAGATCCAGTAACTGTGTCCTGCCTTTTACCACCCCCCTCCACCACCAATCCACACCTCGGTGCCTGCCTGTATGGGTGTAGACTTAGCTGACCAGCCCAACAGCATACTCAGACTTTGGTTCAGACTTCAGTTACTGCCAAATGAAAGTTTGCCAACATATGTACAGTAAACAATCTTCCACGTCCCACGCATCGTTTGAACTTATGTATATTTCTTTAAAAATCGTAGGCTTTAAAATAAACAAACCTGGGTCATTTTACGCTGAGCAAGTAAAAAAATACCAATATTAACCCTGAACTCTTTTACCTTTGCTGGTCTTAAAGTCTGATGTGACGAAGTGGAAAAAAAAATTAACAAGGTGATGTTCCTAATCGTTTTATCACTTCATTGTTAAGTTACTGGAAGCAACTACCTTTCTACAAGTCTTAGGTAAAAAAAAAAAAAAAAGTTGAATCTAAAGCAGAGAGGACTCTTTTGAGGGAAGGGAGGGGAAAATGGGTATCTGTGATTCGGAATTTTGAAAGAAAATTAAGTAGCAGGGAAATGCCAAAAAATATCGACAGGAAGTCCGACCTCACCGGGCACTTGTGAGTGGTGAAACTAGGAGCTGGGGGGGTGGAGCAAAGTAGGGAAGGAGTAGCTGGGGGCGGGATCCCTCGCCGTACCTTAGGACGAGAAGGGCCTTGTTCAGCCAGCAGCAGCGAGGAACGCGGTCCCTCCCTCCGAGTGTCGGTGACCATAGCAACAGTGGGGGCCGACCCTCTCGCCCTGAGCATGCGCAGTGCAGAGAGAGCCGGGAAGCCTCCACCGCCACGATGGAGCCCTCCGTTCCTTGCGTTGGAGGACTACAACTCCCAAGAGACCCCTCGGCGCCGCGTCACCGCCTCCCGCTGTGGCCCTGCCCCCCCCGTCCCGTCCCTCCTGCCCCGCCTTCCGGCTAGTCCCCTCCCCTCCCTCCGAGTGTGTGTCAGTGACCCAGAGGCGGTGTGAGGCGGAGGGACCGTCGGGGGGCGCCGCCGCGGCCGCCGCCTCCACCAGCAGCCGCAGCAGCCGCCGCCGCCGCCGCGCCGCGCGTTCGGGTTTGCCTCAGCCCTCCGGGAGCGCACCACAAAGCGGGCCCCGCGCCTCTGCGTGTGCCTGAGCGCGCGGCTCCTCGGCGCTCGGCTCCGCGGCCAACTTCCCTCGCGGGGCTCGGCCGGCTGGCGAGGGAGGCGGCGGCCGAACGCCGGGCTGTCGGCTCGCGCCGCTCGCGTACGCACGCTCGGCCCCCTCGCTCCGGCCCCCGGGGCCGTGCTGGGCTCGCGGCCGCCAGCGATCGTCCGGTGAGTGTGGCGGCGGCGGCGCGCGGGCGGGCGGGAGGGATGGTGACGGGGCCGGCCCGGCGCGCGGGCGAGGCGGGCGCGCAACTTCCTCAGCGGCGGCCCGGGGGGCCACCCGCGCCCGCTCTCCCTCCCCGCCCGCCCGCCTGCGCGCCCCCGCGCGCCCCCGCGCTCGACGCGGCCGGGAGCGGAGTTCGCGGCGCCCGCATCCCGCGCCCTCGCGGGAGGAAGCGCCTTTGTGAGGAGCCGGCCCGACGCGCCCTCCCCCTCCGCCCGGGAGCCCCGCGCCCCCCGCGCCCCCCGGCGCCGCGCCGCGCGGGCCGCGGGGAGGAGGAGGAGAGAAAGGAAAGAGAAACAAAGGGGGCGGTGGGCTCCTCTTTTGTTCGTGCGCATCTGCTAACTTCTTTCTCCTTCCTTACATAACGCAGACTTCCAAGTTAGTCATTCTTTTTATTGTTGTGATTCTTGTCATCGTCTCCGCGCGTCTCTCCGGCGTCTCCTTTCATCTCCGGATCTCAGAGCGTTCAAAGACACTGATTAATTACGCCTCTGTGTGTGTGTGTGTGTCTGTGTGTGTGTGTGTGTGTGTGTGTGTGTCTGTGTGTGTGTGTGGGGGGGGGGGTCTCCCCCCTCACGAAACGACGTTGATACGCCCGTTTTTCGTTCGGTGGGTAAACTGAGTCCCGGAAAGAGCCCTCTACCCGATGGACACTCTGGATCTGCCGCCGCGCGCCGAGGGTCTGAGGACCCGAAAAGGCTTTATGAGCCAGAACTCGTTCTCCAAAGGCGCCCCCGTGGAAAAGTTCAAGATGCTCCTTTTAGTTAACAGGTTAACTCAAGTCTAAAAGAAGTCTGGGTAAATTGTGAGGTAGCTCAGACAGCAATTCTGGTCGCATAGTATCTGAATCCTAAAACCTCAAAGGACTCGTGAGAAATGCCTCCCTGGAGCGTGGAGAAGCCTGCAAAATGCTACACTCCCCTCCCCACGTACTTTTAGTTTTGTACATTCAGGGGGTCTCATGAGGCAAGAGAGCAATGATGGGGGGCGGGAGGGCAGAGATGGTTTTGTTTTTGTTTTTGTTTTGTTTTAATGTAGATTTGACAGATTTTAATCACACACCAGGAAATGTGCCTTGGGTTTATCCACAGCCTTCCCATCGTGTAGTCCTCAGACAGTATGTTAGCAAATAATGGAGTGAGCATTTTATCCATAAGGTGCTGGCTGTGCCAAGGACTGAAGCTTTAAGTGTATGAAAAGGTCATCTGTCTGTTTTGGTTCAAAGGCTGTGTACTTTTCCTCCTCTGCGGAGTGTTATTTTGTTTTCGTAGCAGCTGATCTTTTGTTTCAGAAACTGGCTTTGTCTTTCTACATTGAATGTGTAGGGTAACTGAGAAGAGATGTAAGGTGATTTTTGTTTTGTTTTGTTTTTTGTTTGTTTGTTTTTAATCTGCATTGTAGTGTGGATTTAGATCTTTTGAATCGTGGAGAAGGTTCAGTTTTTCAGTTCTTCTGTTTCAGCCTATGATGTTTTCTTTTAAACAGGAAATGTTTCCTCGGAGCGATCAGATTTACATCTCTCAAAACATTGTCCTTTTATTGTACAAATGTATCGTACCAATTCCTTTTGTTTCCTTATTCGCACCAACAACCTCTTCTGGAGGAAAATGCGTAACTCTGAGGACAAGTTTATTCGTTTTGGTAGTTGAACCAAACTGGAGGGTACCAAAAATTTAAATCAAGCATCATTTCTAGTAGTTACTTTCTGAGTTGAATGTGATCAAAACTGTAGTAACAGTGAGTACTTTCACTTATCCGAATTCCTCTTGAATTCACCTTTGTATAATATCGTTGTCCCCCCCCCACCCACACATTTTAGATTCTGGTGGTTCCATCAGAAAAGGAAAAGTGAGACATTTGTTATTTTCATATTTCTCTCCAGTCCTCTAACCTGTCCCCTTCCTGTAGTATGTTTAAAGAGATCTTGAGTTTAAAACAAACATTTGGAAGTAGAACAGTTAAGTGTTTGGAAAGTTGCATGTAGTGGAGTGGTTTTTTATGCCTCATCTAATATATTTACACCTTTTAAAGAGAAAAGTGTCACCTAGGTTTTTATTAATGTGTTAGAGATGTTGTAATGCAATAATAGCAGTATTTGTCGACTTAAAAAAAAAAAAAAGCTAGAAATTGTGCCTGAATGACAGTTTTGGGGTAAAGGGGAAGAATCTGTGCTCTCCTTAAAATTGTCATTTAGGTGACCTTGCAGTTTTTTGGTTATATTGAACTTTTCCTGTAGCTTTTCAAACCGGAGATATTTGTACTCAAAGGAAACTACTAACACAACATCTTTGCTCAATCACTAGAGTCCAAAGGCAGAAGTTAGTGTTGACTGGCAAAGGCTGGCACCGCAGGTTTCCTGATGTCTTTGGGACTGCTTAAAGAAATGACTGAAAAGCACAGATCAAGGAACTAAGTCTAATACAGCAAATGCTAGTCAGGCATGTTTCAAGGGGAAGCCTCTGTATGTTGCTGTTTGACTTCATTTCAGCTTCTTTTCAGGTTGTAATAATGTCACTGATATGTTCAGAGTCTTGTCATTCAGAATATGTCTTACTGTTGTTGTCCAATGGGTCAGATGAGAAGGACTATAGTAATCCTGCTTGTGAACAACTGTTTGCAGACGGAAAATTCTGGAGCTGATAAAGATTTTGAGCCCAGGCTTAGAATTGAAAATTGTTTTTCTAACATTCTTACATATATACATCTTACCATTCCACATCAATATAGACCTAGCCTAGTATTTATTAAATCAGAAGGATTTCTGTGGATAATTTTATTACATATATTTTAACTATACAGTATATAATATATTAAAATTTCAAAATGACAGGTATATTTGATGGCACTAAGATAGTTCCAGGAGTTTCTTTGGAAAAATCAGTTATTCCAAAAGTTGCATTTATGCCATTTAATTGAAGAGAATGAAACAAGTTTAAGAGCCAGAGGAAAGAAGGAGGAGGAAAATCAACAGAAAAGGAAACCTGATGAAGATGTTTTTAAAGAGTACAATATAAAAGATTCCTGGCAACATTATATAAGGGACAAAATTCTAGCTAAAGTCTATAAACAGTGAATTCCACTTAGCACTT